TGCTGAAGGAGATATGGTATTTAGTTAAGCTGAAGTGAAGCCCTGCATAAATCATAAAGAGGCAAACCCGGGTTACTCAAACAGGACCCTAGGAGGTGCTTGGGGAATAGTCTTGCAGGCAGCTTTATTTTTCTACAGCCGATTTATTTCTAAAATTCTGGATCCCACAAGTACCCCAGGAGGAACTTGGCTCCCAAGTGCTGCAGCAGGTCTTGGCCTTGGAGCACAGTTCTGGTGCTGTTTCCTGAATTCCCACATTGCTGTTTTCCACACATGGATCAGGCTTCAAACTTCCTGTGTCTGGACCATGCGTGCGCTCATGCATGGAAAGGGTGGGAAGGGGGGAAGGGAGTCCAAAAGGAAGAGCATTTACCTCAATGCTTCTATTGCATACGTGTCCTTTATTCCTCTTCCATTCAGATAAAGCTGCTATTTTGTGATCAGCTGGCTTCTACATGAGCAGGGCTAGTATCCTTGTGAATAAATAGGAGACTGACTTTAGGAGGTGTCCTGGAGAAAGTTGCTTTTCAGTGTTTGCCTCACATATTTGTATGGGTGAGGGGAGAGTTATATAGAGTCATAAATCCTTAGGATTTATTTTCCCTGGTATATGTACTTGCCTCTGCTTTTGTTTCTAAATGTATTAAATGATTTAGTTGTCCACCTGGCAATTAGAGGAAGATGTGCTCATTTCATACAGTTGACTTGGTGGGTGGGTAAGAATGTCATTCACTACAAAACAATACAAAACTATGGTTTTGTGGTCTTTTATTCTAGAAGAACTTAGCCAGGGACTGAGAAATAGACTGTGAGCTGTGTTTTTCATTCTAATTTTCCTGTACATTGGGCAAAAATATTGCATGCAAAGGGCAAATGTTTTAAATTAAAACATTTATTAGTTGCTAAAATTAAGAACCAGGAGATTTTACATTAAAACATTTGATTTCTGGTTTCTCTTGAAAAATCAGAAGTCTGGCCACATTGGATCTACATTTCCCATGGCGCTGACCATGGAAAATCAGCCCCCTTTATGTGGGTCCTGAATTCTTCTGGGCAGCCTCCATCATTGGTCTTGCTTCCTAACACCAAGAGTGAGGGTTGTTACCTTTATTTATTGTGGACATATCTATATCTACATCTATCTATCTATCTATCATCTATTTACCTATTTACCTATCCAAAATTTACCATTTTAAGTGTTCAATTCAGTGGCGTTAAGTACATTCAAAATGTTGTACAACTACGACCACTATTTCCAGAACTTTTTCATCATCTCAAACAGAAACTGTGCTTATTAAATAACTTCCCATTCCTCCTTCCCCTCAGGCCCTCATATCCACTACGCTACTTTCTGTCTCTATGAATCTGCCTATTCTAGGTACCTCATACAAGTAGAATCATACAATATTTGTCCTTCTGTGTCTGACTTCTTAGCATAATGTTTTTAGGGGAGGCTGATTATTTTTTTGGAGTGTAGACATTGATTTTTATTGTATATTAAAGGAAGAGTTGTGTTTTATTGGGGAAAAAAAGGCCAAACAAGACACGTAATTGGGGATGGGGGCTCTTGACTTTTAAGTTTAAAATGATCATTATATCCATTATCAATGTGTGGAGGTTCTTAATGTACTTAGGCAACCCAGTGTCTTTACACAGGTGTTTTATAGTTAGTGTGGTTAATTCTCCTGGTATCCGCCAGAGGCTTCTCCATATTTTACAGTCATGATATGAAGACATAGGGATGCTTTGGGGATTAGTTAAATGTGTGTGGCATACTTTGCTGTGTAAACTCACTCTTGGGAACTAGTTTTGCTCCCTGCTTTCAACTTTCACAGCTCTTATAGTCAATCCCATTCACTTAGCACTTAGTATATGTTTGTTAGTTGTTTTTTTTTTCTGTATATAACCTTGAAGGCAAGAGCTAAGTATCATCCCTCTTTGTTTTTTCAGTCTTGTGCATAATAATAGTAACTCAGCGTTTGTTGATGTTTGCCTCCCCTCTCCCTTCCTTTTAAGTGGAGCTGGCGAAGCATAGCTTTAATTTCAAACTCAGCTAAAGCAAGCTGAAGGGTTTTCAGAGTAAAAACAAAAAGGAGTCTTGAGTAGCAGGAGACAAGGAACACCTAAGGCACTTAGAGACCTGGGCAAAGCCTCCAAGGTACCCAAAAACCTGTTGTTTGTCACAGACTAACAAGTGACTCACATACAACCTGATCCACTATTCATTTCAGAGCTGTGTTCACTCTACCCTATCAAAATTTAAATCTGTAAGGGAAAAATAATGCCCAAGGCAGGATTTGAGGAGAGGGTATTAAAGGAATTATGTGTTTTAGGAATTTTCATTGTATTAAGGCCCCTTAGTGTGGGGAAAGGTTGGAAAAGTCTTTTGAATACAACTTCAAGGCTGGGAGCAGGCATCCTAGAAACACAGCCACCAAGTCTTTGCTACTAGGATTTATTCCCCAGCATCTTCTGTAATGGCAAAAGATGGGAAATGGCCAAACTCACTTCTCAACAGGAGAATGATAAAAAGAATTTTGTCACATCTATGCAATGGAACACTGAGCTACTGTGACTAAGAATGAGGTAGAAGTTATCCTGAAATGGAAGGCTAGTTAAAAGACAATATATGTTGAAGATTACACACAAGCATAGAGAGAAAGGGAGAAAAGGACTGTGAGAATGGAGTGGTAGAAGGGAGTTGTTCACTCTTTTTAGTACAGTTTTAATTTTACTATGTTCATATTTTACTTTTTCCATTTCAACTGTGTTGTTAATTTTAACTATCCTGTTGCCATTGTGACCAGTAGTAGTCTGCAGCATGTACCCACTCTGTCTAGCTCTGTTGTCCACCCCAAGCCCCAAGTAACAAGGCAAAAATAATCTTCCCTTGATTCATAAAACAGGTGTTTCCATGTCTTTAACATTCAAAATCTCACCTTGCCCATGAAAAATCATCCGAGTAACTTCATCTCTCACAGAATCACACCAAGAATACAATTTGTCCATGCTTCTACTTCTGAATATTTCAGCAGCACTAGCAGTGTTCTGCACTCTGAGGTTACTGAGACCCCCTTTGTGGTGTGACAGTGTTTCCAAAGAGCATACTTTCTCTTGAATGCTTTGATCCATGGCCCTTCAGAAAACTCTTGTTAGGCAGGCTTGAATTGGGTGTCAATTTTTCATTGGCATGAGTTCATTAGAATAGCTTTGTGCTGTCAAGGCCTTTACATGTGTTTAGACTTGCCTCCTCCTGGCATTTTCTAGGAAATATGGATCTGTAGAGAATGGTAGTTTCCATGGTAAATGTTCCCTCATATTTGTTTTCTCAAGTTCTCTTCTGATATACACAGCATGATTTCCTTTTTCAGTACCAGTACCACAATAGATTTAGGTTGTGGCGCCACTGCAGAACTGTTTAAAAAAATAAATCTCACCCACCCTAGTTAGAACAGGGGTAATTTATTATTCTAACTGCAGGGAGCCAACTTCATATCCACCCTGAAAACTGTAGGAAAAGGGTTGACTTTTAAAAATATAGTCACAAAATCTACACATCTTGGATATACATGCTTAAAACAGATGAGCAAAATATTTGATTCTCAAACACTTGTAAGAGTCTCCACTATGCGACATGCACAAGTAGAAGCACATACAGGTGTGAGGTGCTTTGTGACTTACAGAGGTTTCATACACGATTCATTTTATTTTCATATACCAGTGCCATTAAGTTAATAGGGTATATCTTACAGCCTTTATTTACATAGGAAAATTAAGGCTCAGAAATGTTAAGCGATTTAAAAGTCGCACAAGTAGCTGGTAAGTGCTACAGCCCTATATGAGTTCTTCAGTTCCAAATTCCATGTTATTCTGTTACTCCTACACTGTTTCTTCGAGCTTTCATTTCCCAGATGTAACATGGTTGATTTTCAGTGTCCCGGGATGCTGTTCTGAACTCTGTGTTCTTAAGCAATATCAATTTTTTGTTGTCAGGAGATGTGAACACAACATTGACATTTCACGTACTTTTTCCCCTCACGGCCTAATGGGTTAGAGGGAAACAAAAGTTACCTACTCCCAGAGAGCAGGGCAATGACATAAAGGTGTACCGGAGCCGGCCGACACACTCTCTTAGAAGACTGAGAAGTCAAGCGTCTCATCTTTCTCTTCTGTAGCTGGGGGAGAACCGAGAGCCAGACAATAGCCTCTTGTTTAGTTTTATTAATTTTGAGGGTGGGTGGGAAAAAAGCATTGGATCGACGGCGTAAATGACCAATTGCAAGCAAATCCTAGGCCAGGATTCACCAACCGGTTGCAGAAAATGGTGGGTGGGGCTAACACTTATCCGCCCGCTCCACCCAGGTCCGACCTCCAGCTCGGCTTGGAGGCGGAGGCTCCCCAGACCTCCGCCCACGCTACCCTCGCCGCTAGAGCGGCCAGGCAACGGGAGGGGGATTGGGACGTGGGAGTAGGGAGGTGGAAGGGGAGGAAGAAGAGAGGATGTCTCGCAGAGCTGCGATCTGGGTGGGGGCCTACTGCTAATAGGAAGCAAGAAGGAAAGGAAAACGAAAGAGCGGGGTGCTGTTCCTTTCTGCATTATTTTAAGGGCGCTTTGCGAGAAGCTGCTTTTCAGCATTTCCATTTTATTATTCCTTCTTCCTGCTGTAGGGTGAAGAGCTGTACTGGCTCTCCCACGCGACTCTGCTCCATTGTTGCCGTAGGTTATTATTGTAGTCTTGCAAAACCCTTTCCTTCCTTCCAGCCAGTCTTTGCGTAGACTGTAACCGAACTCTGCCACGTTTGTACGATTAGAGCGAGGGCCCCGAGCTTTCGCCGAGGGGGCTGGACGCCGCGGTTCAATTGTTTAAGACTTCCCCGCCCTCTGGCCCCGCCTCTCTTCCTACCCTCCTACCCTCCACCCGGCTCCAGGATCCGGGCTGGCTCCCTCCCTTTTTTCCCCGCCCTCTACTCCGCCCCCTTCCATAGTCCATCCGCCCCCCCTTGCACCCTGCTCCTGGGCGGTTCTAGCCGCTCTCCGCACGAAGAAAAGCCACCCATTCGTTCCCCTCCCCTACCTCCCATCCTTCGCCCGGGAGCTGCCTTCATCGCAGTCACGCCCCTTCCTTCCGAGGAGATTTCTGACTGCCCTAGCTGGTAGTCCCTGACTTATTCCTCCATCTCCTCTCTCTTTCGCTTCATCTTTTCTTAGTTCTCACTGCCCCCTCCACCCTCCCCCTCCAGTCTGTCTCGCCTCCGACCATCCGCTGCTCCACCCTCCGGCCCGGTATCCTGCCTGTCCACTGCCACCAAGGAGAACCCGGAGAGAGCAGCGAGGAGGGGAGCAGCCGGGAGTTGGGGCTTCCCCCCTGCTCATCCCTGGCCTTTGGCCCGGGAACGAAGCCACTTGAACGAGAGAGTCGTCACCTTGTCTTCGTTGCCTTCAGGGGTAGGAGACTCGTGGTTAATTTTTGTGGGGAACTGGGGCAGGATCCACAGTGGCATGAACTTGATCATGCTCTCGGCGTGAGTCGATCTACATGCGTGTGGGGATACCCATGTCTTATACTTTCTTTGCAGCTGGCCGTGAGTTTTCCGAGATGTGCAGCAAGTTAAATGGGTTAAAAATCGGTGCTCTCTTCCAGTCCTATGGAGATGCTAATGGGTACCACAACTTGATGGTACTTTTACTTTCTTGCCTGCTGGGGTTCTTGTAGGAAGGTAGGTCTCTAGGTAGTGAAGCACAAAAGAAATTAAAAACCAGAGGGAACTTGAAATCTACATTTAGCTCAGCAGGAAAGTCCGTGCTTATCTCAGATTGCTAGAAGCATTTCTCCTAAATGCTTAGGGTTGGGGTGGGGGCTCACACTCCCATCCCCTGGGGGCCATGAATTCTTGAAGTCTTAAAGTCTGGGAGTAATCTACAATAACACACTCTGTTTTTTGGGTGTGTGTGTCTGTTGGTGAGGAGGAGGTTTTCCCTTATCTGCCTTATATATGTGACTAGTTTTGTGGGATTGTGCAGGTGTCTTCAGGGCCCCAAGCCTGGGTCACTGTATGTTGGTGCTTCAACAGCAACATGGATTTGTCCATATATGAAAATGAAGAGAAGGAACAGTGAGAGGGAAAGTCACAGTCTCTGTAGACTGTGAACAATCCATGGTAAATTACCACTAATAATATAGTAATAATTTGCAGTAACAGATGACATACAATCAAATGAGAAAAGGGAAAGTTTGTGAGAAACAGCATTTCTAATCTCTAGTATGTATTTTAGAAAGAATTTTCTGACACCTTGGAGTGTCTAATTTAGTTACTCTTCCTCCCACTATCTCCTGCCCCACCACAAAGAGTGGAAGTTGGGAGGCATTTTAAAACTTTTTTGAATATAACCCTCTTCCATTCAGAGAGGAAGATAGTCACCATAATCTTCAATAATGGAGGGCTAAGGTTATTTAAGTCTTACTGAACTAGGCTTGTGCATACTCCTTTCTCAAGCCAGCCTTTGTGAAGCCACCTCGGTGAGACCTTTGAGCACCCTCATTTAGTAGCTAAGAATAATTTGAGATGCCATTTTGGTTGCGGGATAAATCTTCACCCATCTTTCACCTATCTCCAATTGGGCAAACATGGCAAACTTACAAGAATGGTGGTGTTCAAAGACCTGTTACCAAGATACCTCCAACCCATTGCTTATTTGAGAACAAATTATTGACTTATATTTTAAAATAATTTCATTGGTTGATTTTAGTGGGGGAAAGGAAAGCAGGAAGGGAGAGAAGGAATGTTACAGGGTGACAATTTTAAAGGCTATCACGTTTCAGATCAGCTGGGAGGGATAAGTTGGCCAGACCAAACTACATTTTATAACTGGCCTGGGACATTTTAATAGCCAGGTGGTTGTAGAGTAGTTGCATCTATTTACAGATGATAACTCAGGTTCCAGCTATTTTGTATGGGTTTATGCCATGTCATTTACAGATAGTCTCTGGCCCTACATCATACTTCATTTTAAGATACTTCTTTCTTTGGAAAAGTCTGGGTCTGTAAAATTGAAAGATACGAAGTAAACCTTTGACCATGCTTGTCTGTAGAATAAGTTTTATGTGAAAGTTGTGGATCTGTTTACCTATTTAAAAGTTTTAAGAAGGGAATTTTAAAAATCATATTCAGTACTCTTTCTAATTTGGAAATCGAAGTCTCACTTCTGATTTATGAAATAGGATTTATTAGACTAATGCACAGCCAAGGAATTTTGTGGAGTTGCTTTATCTGAAGTTTTGTAAAGAACGAATCAGGCTCTTTCTAGAATGCCTTAAGAACAATCTATTCAGAAAGCAAGGGATGGATAATATGACCTTGAGGTCCCATTGAGTGCCAGAATTCTAAGTGGGTACATCTGCTTCTGCACCTCTCCTAAGATCTCTCCCAAGGCCTGTGCCTTCTTTAAAAGGGTGTCTTTGTAATTAAGCAGCCCTGCTCCCCCATCCCCCTTTCTTCCTTTGATCCAGCTTTTTAATGTGTTTTTCCCATTTGGAGACAAGAGGAGTTTCTCACACTCTTCTGCTGCCCCCTTAAGATTTCCTTTTCTTCCCCCACTACAAAGTCCCCCAAAATTCTCAGGATGGTTAGCAGTTCTTTTGTTTTGTTGGTGGGGGTGTTACCAATGAGGAGGAATAGAGGATATATTCCCTCTTTGGAAATACTTATGGCCAGATAGCCTCCTCCATGGAGACTGAGCATTTAGAATGCATGAGAAGTCTATTCTTAGGGACTGTCTGGAAGACATTGTCCTTTGCACCCATTAAGCCCATCTTAAAATCCCTGAAAAGGGTGGAAAGAGGTATGTGTGTTCATGGTGGAGCCTTTAGGATGGTAAATTGGTAAATGTTACCAAGTTTCCTATTATATCACCTCTTACCCTCATGAATTCAGTGCGTTTGAAGATCTGCTTGACAAGTTAATTAGCTTGGGACTAAACCAATTTGTTTAGAATTGTGCTCCATTGGTTTCTTGTCCCTAGAAACTTTTGTTGGTGGTTTACTATGACATGATGTCCCTAGTCTTGCTTATTTCTTAGTTCCTTGCTTGCTGCCTTCTGTAGACTTTGGTCCAAATTCTAGGGTCCCACCCCCAAGTCAAAGGTTAGATTTTGGTCCCAGGAATGAAGAGTGAATTAAACAGACTGTCCATAATGCATTACTCTGCTTCGTGGTGGGTTTTGGAACCCTTTTAAATCAGAAAAAGGAGAGAAGTTGCCCTGTTCACTCACAACACACAAAATTTGGGCTTAAAAAAGTGGAAAATAGGAGGTCTTTTGCTTTATGAAAGAATTGCTATGGGTTTCTTTGAAAGAACTAGCTTTCCTATTTAGTGCCTTTGAGCTATTACTTGATATATAAAAATTCACTGTAACTGAGCCTTCTCAGAAACATATTTATTGGAAGAAAGGAAGACATTAGAATTTTGTTGTAATGATTTTGTTTGAATTAAGTGAGGCCATTGGTTGTCCTTTGAAAGATTTTTGTTACATGGGATGGAATTAATTGTCTGAATCATTTTGGCCTGTAATAATGCTGGCTACATTTAGTCCTAGCCTACAACCACTTGCAGAAGGGAGCTAGTATGACTTTCTGGAAATAAATCACATTTCACAGATTTTGATAACTGTAAGAATGGAACTCTCTACACCATATATGTGAAAGATTTTAATTTCTGTTATTGAATTTGAATAACCCAAGGACACATAAAATCGCTTCAGGTAAATTAACAGCAACTTAAATCTAAGAAGCTACTCAGTTTACCCCTCTTGGCAAGTTTTTTCTTCTGTGAATTGTGAGAGTCAGACAGGGTGATTTTGAGAACCAGCTCTCAGAAGTTTATGGATCTCTTCCTAGGCCTGGGTTTCTGGTGTGAATATGAATGATTCCTACTAGAATGTGGTGCAACAGTTGTTAGAAATACAATCATGTAGTCATCTGGATATTTTTTAAAAGCCTGTAAAGATATATAAATGCATTCTGTCTCTTATTTTAACAACATATCTAATTAAAAAGCTCAGACCCTGCCCAAAACTTTGACAAGAATTCCATCATCCTAACAGATCACCTGTTTTCATTTTTTTTCTAGTTCCTTTCAGTCCCTGTTTCTGAACTTAAGGGAATTTTACATAGTTAGAGTGGTAGAAATGTCCAGTGTTGCTTTTAAATAGGTGCCCGCATAAGACTTATCTTAGTAAACTTGTGCGAAGGAATGAAGTCAAAACCTGACTGAATTTACATGAAGAATCACATAGGTTTGTTTCTTGAATGCCAGGAGAGACTATGATTTAGGAGTATTCATTCATGCATCTAGCCAGGCTGTTAATTCTACTTTCTTGACCTCCTGTGACCCCTCCATCATTCTTTTTAAGCAAAAAGCAAATGAGGGTTCACTGTTTGCTTTGTCTAAATCACTAGCAATAATCCTCAAATCATTGTAGCATGATGTCCCATCAAAAGGGTACAAATTTGCATAGAATATGAAATCTCCCAAGTGAGAAAGGAAAAGCACGAAAGCACAAAGGTTTTATAGCTTTGAAAATAATACATTTAAATTGCACAAAAAAGTAGCAAGGAAACTAAGTATTTTAGACAATTAAATAGACATGTAGATGTAGCAAGATAATACACTTTAATGGATTATTCGTTTGAGACCTTCACCATATAGTGAAAGTTCAGTTACATGTATGATCTTCAATTTTTGATGGACTCATTTCTGGAAACCAGTGGCTCATCATAAATTACATTAAATTTCTTTAATCGCCGTAGGAAGATAGTGCAGGGACACTTTTTATATGTGTTCATGGGGAAAAGCAGATGGATATATTTGCCAATATCTCCTAAGATAATGTTTGAAACTCTACTTTTTTTAACTCCATCTACTGTCCTTCATATTTGTAAAGTCACTTTCACTATTGCCCCACTTCATGAAATATCATTAGACTGTGTTATTTGAAGCTAGGATCCGGGTTTCTCTGCCCAGCACTCTCTGACTTGCCATGTGACCAAGGATAAATGAATTGGCTGCTCTGAGCTTCAGTTACCCTTATGAGAAGCATGGATATCAATACCTTACAGAGGTGTTTAGGCATGCTTCATATTGAGCACAAGCTTTGAGGTCACTAGGAAAAAGGTGTTTGCCATGATGGTAGAGCAGTCTTATTATTGGATCCTGAGCAGGTGTTGACTTTTAATAAGATTTGCTCTCTTACAGTGTCCTTTGATTCATTGCCTTATTGACTATAATTGGTTGTACCATTATAGGTATTATTGACCCTCTTGGTTATTAAAATAATTAAACATTTCATTCTATGTTGTAAGTTGAACTTCTAGTAAAAGAAAGGATTCTAATGTCTCTCAAGGTGATGAAAAATAGCTTTAGAAAAAGACATTAGTTGGAATGTGCCATAAAGTTTAGTCAGTTCTTCAAAGCTCTTCCAGAAGATTAAAAAGAGTAAAGCAAATTTCTGTGTGTCTATCTGCATGTGAGTGTGTGTGTGTTTTAAAGGAGAAAGTTTTGAGTAATATTTGCTTGTGACACATACTGATGATAGCCAGTAACTGAAACCCAGCCATTGTAGTGTTTTATACACAGCTGGTTTTTATTAATGATGGAATATTTATGCTTGCTGTACAATTCGTGGCTCATTTCCATGTGTATGTCAGGACTTAAATACCCCCAAAAGCAACATTAAGATAGCATTAAATATAAATGTGGCCAAGCTGGAAAGAGTGTGTTTGGGGGGTTCTCTCTTATTCTTATTGGTGTTGTTTCAGATCACAATAACTGCCCCCCAACTTTAGGCACTGATGCCGATCTTTTTTTTTCTTTGTATAACCCATAGCAACCTTTATATTTTGATCCTTTTCATATGGACAAATGCTCTCCCCTCCCTTCATAATGCAGATGAAACTGATGTATGTGTTTTTTAAGAGCACGTTTTCCCTGCACATGCTTCTCATTATCCAAGAGGCCTGGACTCAATCAGTAAAGGAGCAGAGAAACCACATAATTGAAAGGAGAATGACGGTTGTGCATACTTGGAATATTTGTGGGAAGGGGATTGCTGACATCAGAAAATTTAGTGGCCCGAGTGTTAACAGCATTGAAAAGAAATAAGATTTCTGTGTTTCTGTGCATTGAGAATTATTTTTAAGGGCATAAAAAATATGGGCCAGGTTTGACATCCTTTTGTGAAGTTGCCCTGGAAACTTTGATGAAGGTTGTTATAGAATAGTTCAATTTAAATCTTCCCTATTGGGAAGCTAATTAGTATATTACTTAATCATTTGGGTTGTCTTCAAGAGGCATGTGTTTGTATTGAATTAATGACTTTTTTTCATGTGATAGGAAACTAAGATAAAAATCACAGGTGGGGAAAATTATTTAAATTGCCTAATTAAGAGAAATCTAATTTTCTCTTTATTACATTAGGTTTTCAGTTCAGATTTTTGCTTCACTCTGTTTATATACAGTGATTACATTTTAGTTTAGTAGCCAATTTTACTTTCTTGATCATGGGCTGTAAACCAAAGCTTATTAATTTGAGTTTTCCTTATGAATTGGAGAACTATGACAAATGACAATAAACCATTTTATTAAGGTAACAATTGTTTCTTTTTTTTTTCCTTCTAGTTAGTCTTTGTTCTCTCTGTGTGTGTGTGTGTGTTTGAGAGAGGGAAAATTTTTTTTTAAAGCAAACAATTTTTGGAGCTAAGAAAATTTTGGTGACCCCTTTTTGCCCCCAAGAACATTCTGTCTTGGGCTCTCAGTTAGGCTTCCATTAGGACAATGTGATGACTTTTCTGGCATGGTACCTTTTGTGACTAGACTAGCAGTTCACCCCTGGCAGCTTGAAGGAGAGTGTTTATGATGGGAACTGGAGTGCAGGATTCCTAGCTCGTTATTTCTCCTGTACTCCACCTTTTTAAAGAGAATGAATGTTTGCTCCTGAGGTTTCAGGGCCATTTGAAATAAAGTGCTCAGTTAGCTAAATGTGTAATGTGGATATGCTGTGATGCTCATTTTCCCCCAAAATAGTAGGGGTCAGTCATTTTATACATTTATTCCCTGATGTTATACCTGTAGCACATGTCTGCACTAGAGTTTTGGAGAGTGGGCAAGTTGGCTGGGTTTCCTGGGAAGGCAGGGTCTAGATTTAGTTTTGTTTGCAATGGCAACTCAGTCAAGACAGGTTCTTGGGGCTTGCAAGTCAGGGGGAGGGGGAAGGGCTGACTTTGGGGAGTGACTCAGGCTCTTTGGTATGAAGATATGAAATGCTGGCTCCTGTCCCTGCACCTGCTGGATGCCACACCTGTAGTCAGCACCTGAGCCCCACTCAAACACAAAAAGCAGACTGAAGGCAGATGGGGTACAGCAAAACAGGGAGCTCCCAATTATGTTAGAAGAGCACCACTGCAAATTATATTTAGCTGTGCCAGTGTTGGTAAGGGGAAATGTCTTAGATATTTTCTTCTAGGTGCAGTGCACCAGCTTGCTCATGGTACTGTTGGAGCCCCGAGGGAATTTGCTTTCCTAATCATTTCTCTGGTGAACTGTCCTCTTAAAAAATGGAGAGTCAGTTCAGTAGAGGTTTGTGTCTAATAACCCAGCACAGGGCAGGAAGTCACAAGACCTGGATTCTTATCCTGACCCAACCAGTGAGCCACAGAGAAACCTTGGTCAAATTAGTTATCATTAGCTATCTACCCTGGACTTAAGCTTCTGCAGTTGTAAAATGGAATTAATCACATCTGCCTTTATTTCCTCACAGAGCTGCTGAGAAGGACATATAAGATAACAGAAGTAAAACAGATTTTGTCTTCTTAGAAGAAAGACTAGGAAACTGAAGGTAATAATATTTTTGTTATTGCTATTCTACACCTTTCATTCCTTTTCTTCTCTTTCTGTCAACTCTGGCAAAGTCTTTGGGAAGTTGTTATTTACTCAGAATGCAATTATTAAGCATATTTTATGTACCAATTAATGTTTTGGGGGTTAGGAATGACACAAAGTAAAAGCTTGCACTCATCCTATGCCCTCTAAGATCTTGTAGTGTAGCAAGTTCCATTTCCAGCTCAATCTATTACAGTGATTTCTGCCTGGGTACTTAGAAGTTTAAAGTACAAGAATTCTTCTGCCTTTCTGCATTCCAACTGGGGACTTTCATTCCTGGAGTAATGTATCCCAAGCTCTAGATAGAAGGTATAAGGGGAAGCAGTGTGGGAGGGAAGCAGTGTGGGGTGGAAGCGAGCCATGGGTAAATAAAGGAATTTCCCTCTCACTCTTACATTTGCAAGGTACCTAACACATGCTAAATTATTTTCCAGGGGCCCAGCCTAGTTTCATCTTTGGTTCCATTCTCCTCCTGCTCTATGTGGCCCAGCCCACTCTTTGACCTTAGCTATTATTCATATGCCAATTATTCCCAAAATACATCTCAACCTATCTTTGATGTCTCCCTTTCCAACTTCTCCAACATCAGGTTGGTCATCAGATTTCTTGTCTCTTACTCAGCTCATAGGTCTTTTCCTTTGTGAGGCTTTGTTTAGGTGGCTCAGAGTTTTTGCAGGGTCCACTGTGTTGCCAGAGCAGTCTGCTCATACCTCGGGTTTCCTGTTGGATCCTGCCCCAGTGCTTGACTGGGGGCCCCTTAGGGACTGAACTCTGTTTTATTTCTCCTTTTTTAATCCACTATAGGACCTGTACAGTGTCTGGCTATAGTTAAGTGCTTGATAAATGTTTGTGGAAAATAAGGTATGATAAGTGCTCTAATAGAGATGTGTACAAAGTCCAATAGACACACTGAGGAGAGAGAATTAGTTTTCCATATTGAGTGGAGTTAGGGGCAAGGAGAAGATTGAGAAGGACTAGGGAAGAACATTTAAGAGAAGGTGGAAAGCACTATCCTATTCTGATAATTCTCACTAAGCAGCCTAGGAAAGAAATGCCCGTTGTGTCTACTCTTGCTAAGGGCATCTCTGGCCTGTTTCCTTCCCTACCTTAGTACTAGATAACTTTTATGGTTGAGTCTGCAAATAAACATCTGTCTATAAGACATCTACCATTTAAGACAGGTGCCACTTAGTCTTATAATATTAAACAGGGCTGACCTTAAATGTGCCACCTTAACTGTGGCTGAAAACAGAGGTACACAGACTCATTGGATATGTACTTTTAGTTCTGTATAGCACATTATCCTTTAAAATATATTGAATATTAGTATCTGAAAACTAACCATTTTAATTCTGAGAATTTAGCAGGTTGGGTCAATAGAACTGAATGAATGTTTTAAAGCTAACTCTCAGATCATTCCAAGGGCAAAAATGAAACATGATATAAGCCATGACAGGCCATGAACCTGTTCTCACCCACCGATGCTTTTACTAATTAGCTTCTTGGCTGGGTGGCAATTTGGGACAAGTGCATGTGAGCTGGATTCACAAGGGAGCCCACATTCCACCCTGCCATTTTGAAAGCCATTGGGCTACTACACTGCTTCTCTTGGCTTCTTTCCTTCTCAGGAGTCATTCTTTGCTCTGGTGGGAAAATGGGAGCAGAATAACTTTTAATTAAGTTAAGGAGAGATTTCACGGGGCTGTGATATTATGCTAGTTTTACTTTTTTAGTAGATTGTCTAAAAAACATTCATGCTCCTTGACCAATTAGTTTTACTTTTGGGATTTTATCATTAGGAAACAATCCAAAATATTGAAAAAGACTAAATCACAAAGATGTTTTTGTAACATTATTTAGACTAGAATAAAATTAAAAGCAATTTAAATGTCTGAATAATTGGAAAATAGGTAGGTAAATCTTGATACACTCATTTAATGGACTATTACACAGTCATTGCAATGTATGTTATGGAGTCCATGCCACAACATGGAGAAAGTGCTTATAATAAAGTGAAATGTAGGATCCAAAATTATGTGTATCTTCATATTTCATTGCTTTGCAAAAACACAAATACACAAAGGAAAAAAAGCTAAAGGAAATATTCTATAATGTTAATAATGTTTGGGTTGAGTTGTTAGGGTTATAAGTGATTTTTCTTTGTTATAAATATTTGCCTATTGTACTTGTATTACTTATAAAATAAGGTAAAAATAAAAGTGGGTAGTATGCCATTGAAGATAGGATATTGGTAAAGCAGAAAGCTTGTAGGTATATTCTGAAACTTTTCTCAGTTTATGCTCAATCTGATTTCATGGACTGCTTATACTCTTTCTGAGGCAAGAAGAAATGGGATGTGATAGCCTGATCTATTTATTCCTCCCTTGGAATGGGTGCATGTGGAGGGAGGGGGAGGGGTGGTGGCAATAGTATTTTTCTGGTTACCCAGTATTTTTCTGCTCATGTACATTTTAGGGTTAATAAGTTTTGTTGGCTTTTAATATGTTAATTGCTTTATAATACAGAAAAGTAGAACTGGGACCAAATTGCCCACACCTTTGAGTTGCTATCTCAGAAATAGATAAGTGACACTGACTCTCAGTAAGATTTGGAATTCCAAGCCCATACCATGGTTCTTAGAATAAATTTCTAACCTAATCTAGATTGAGGTAGAGATAGGAGCAAAGAGATGGGGCTAACCCAAAGCTTTTTCTTAAGCTAGTGTTAGACTTAAGTAAGAGTAAGTACCAAGTTGCTATGGTATTAGGAAGACCTAGATCAGAGGCCTGGAAACATTTATCAGTGGAGGTTCTGGTTACTCTCTGACTTATCTGCATATCTTGGTTTAAAGAGGGGAGACTGTGTAAGGTCCTTCCACCATACTTAGTAAACACATTCCTCTTACCTATTTGGATTTCCTCTGCTGCCATTATGATTTTACTCCCAATGGAATTGATAAATTGGTAGTATCATTAAGCCAGGTTCATAGTCTTTTAAAACTAGAATCAGTTCAGTTTAATAAATATTTATTAAGCATCTTCTGTGTGTAAGCTAATATGCTATGACTAAACAGGGTCTGGCAGAAGTAAGGCTTGCTTGAGTGTGGTTGGTAGGGTACGTGAACGTCACATGAGATGGACCGCAATTTGAACATTTCATCTAAAATGTCATGTAGTGTGCTTGAGTGCGATATTGTTATGTTATAGAATGACATGCTTATGATTTTGTAATAACATTTTTTGTAATAAAAAGGGGGCATTATTTGTGCCGGACCCTGTATTTTAGTGGAAAGACTATTCCCCTAGGAGTAATAAAACCTGTATTCTGGCCCTCGTTCTGGCTGCTTTCAAGCTCTGGCATCTTCATTTATAAAAAGAGAGGGTTGGACCACTGGATGGTCTCCTGGGAGTCTTTCTTGTTAGAACACCCACTGATTTACGAACCTCTGCACACAGACTGAGTTGCAAATAAAGGTTTTACAAAAACAACCTTGTTTCATAAAGTTGCTGCAGCCTTCTAGAAAAAAAGGCACATTGAAATAATAATATTAATAGCTAACTTTTATTGAGCCTTTATTATGTCCTAGGCTCTGTGTTTACACTTTACATGGATTACCTGACTTCAGCTTTCTAAAAACCTTATGAAGTATGAGTACCATTATCCCTTTTTGCAGATGGTGAACTTTGAGACTTGAGGACGTCAAGAGACACATATGAGGTCAGTTAGTAAGCCATAGATCCAGGATTTGAACTTGGACAGGGTAACTCTGAGCCCAGGCTTTTAACCATGGTGTTTTTATTGCCTGCCCATTACCCATTGAAAGTCTGGGGATAATTTGCAAATAGACCATTGTTTCTTACCTCCCAAAGGAAGTGAATTAGTATCCTGAGTTGCAAGACTGTTGGGGAAGCTGTTCCCTAGACACTTCAGGCCACAATATGGACCAACCTGAGAGAATGTGAGAGAATTCAGTGGGCTGTTTTGCCTTTCTTTTTGTGTGGGAGGGCATGTGTGTGTGTGTGTGTGTGTGTGTGTGTGTGTGTGTGTGTGTGTGTGATGCACAAATGCAAGCATGCAGATATAGGGAAAACTTTGAACTGGTTTCTTTCCATTTAGTTGGAAGTAAAATTGTATGAACAAGTTGACCAAGATTTAGCAGAGAAACAATTTTCCTAGACTTAGATTCTTCATCCTAGTTGGTGGAATGATGGATAGGGGCAGAATAGGAGGAGGGGATTGAAGGGGTAGAGAGAAGATCTTATAGGCATATTTCAGAATTTATTTGAAGGGTGGGAATTTGGTCTACCTTGGCCACCTTGTAATGTTGATTTTCTGGGACTTGAATAGAAAATACTGGGCTCTCACTAATGTGTTTTGGCTCAACCTCCCAGGTATACTGGAAATGGCCAATGAATGCAAATGTGGTAAGAATTGACTTTAGCCTTGCTGCCCTGTTGCTATTCCAGAAGAATTGAATATATAGATTCAAAATGCATTTTTAAAGAGAGAACCACAGATATCCTTTCTTCCTCTATCAAATATCCTCAGAGACAGTCTGTCCAGGAGAAACAAGGTTATTTTATTGATTGAAGATGATGTCAGACACCTAGCAGTTGGTGTGATTAAAGCTTTGGGCAGATTAAAGGTTGCAGAGTTCATACTATTTTATTTCTTGTGCATGAGAACAGGACTATTTTCCTTTTCTTTCCCTAATAAATAAGTGGAGTAGTGTTTTTCTTTTTACCTGACTCTTAACATGTAGATGAATATAAGTACTTTAAGAAAAAAAATCAGCAAACTGGAGAGAAATCAGCAAAGCTTTTTTTTTTTCCTTAGGCTGAGTTCTTTTCCTCTTTTAAACAGAAACAGAAAAGGCCAGGGGGCGGGGTAATGGGGAGGGACAATCTGTGTCCAGTTGACACAAAATTATTTGGGTTTCAAAAACAATATGAAAGAGAGAGGACTAAATTAAGGGAAGAGAGTTAGACTTTGGACAAGTAAAGTTTTCTTGGTGAGGAGCTTAGGCATCAGGAGCAAACCCATCAAGATTGGCATGAAGAATCTAAATAGTATTGGCAAAGAATTGTATGGTAGTTTTTCTCCAGAGGTTCTAGTTTAAAAGCCTTGGGCTGTTTTCTGCATGTTTCAGTTGAAAAAAAAGACAACTATTTTGTTTAGAATTGGACAATAGAAGCATGGTGGTTATTTACCATAGCTGTGTTAACAGTCCAACTTTGATTGCAATTACACGTTCCTCTCTGAAATTAGGGAAGACACCCCCAAATAATTACCTTGCAGATTGGAGACAGTTTTGCTTTTGATTGTGATTATACATTGGACTGAAACAAGATGGAAAGACAAATTTCCATGTTTGCTCACTCTGTATCTGTTCACTTTATTTTTGGCAATGTTGCAAGGAAATAATGTTAAATTAATCACTGTGCGGTTTTGTGGATTTTTAAAAAACTTGGATGTTTTGGACACACTCCCAAAATACAGAGATGCTTGTGTGCTTCCTTTGCATTGCCTTGTTCCACAAATGGTGTCTCTGGTGCAGATTAAAGCCTTTCCTTTAAGAGATATGAGTGAGTCACAGCTAAGCCAGGACAGAAGATCAGTATGTGGGTGATGTGCATGCCACCTAAACACAAATGCCTCAGTTTGATAACCATTTTGGTGGGATCTGCAGGCCTTTTCTGAGGGATGAAACAGTATTTAGAAATAAGGACTATCTCAAATCCATATCTGGTCATTTTCAGCAGTTAATCTCTATAGTGTGAGTCCAGTCTTGTCCTTTTGCAGAGATACCGGGGCTGTGGAAGTGCTGAGAAAACAAGTGGGGGCATCTTCTTGAAGGACAAGTGTTGCTGCTATGCATTGAGAAGGGCAATTGCTTTTGCTACTCCAGTAAGAATGAATGGGCCATCGATCAGATTGTAAGGTCTGTGAGGGCAGGAACTATATGTTGTGTGTCTTTTGTATTCCTTCATTGTGTTTAGCATGAGGCAGGGTTATGTCTGGAGTAGCCAGTATGCAATAATTACTTAATACTTAATGACTTGGTTAAAAAGGAGTTTGGATTTGCTTCTGCCCATCTGAGGCTGTAGCAGTTGAATCGGGAGCTCCACTAAGCATTTATCTTTGACCAAAAACTTACCTTCTGATGACTGCCTTTCCTCTAGGATGTGGGGCAATAAGTCTCACTCACCTGCCCTACCACTGATAGCATTTTAAAGGTCGCACCCTAAAGGTGACGGTGGTTACAGCTTCTGTCATCACCCATCAGTCCAACTCAGAATTGAAGCAGCAGCTTTTTGGGGCTGTGAGGCTAGCACAAAGAAATCTTTTCCAGTGTCAGACCTGGACATTTCCACCTCCTGGAGACTGGCCAATCTCCTGAACACACTACTAGATAGTGGGGTTCCTTTCCGTCCTGGTGGAAATGGACCCTGCCACTCATATAAAAGGCAAGCACATGGGAGGACAAGTTATTCCCTTGGAAGGACTGGTTTGTTTAACTGTTGGCCATTGGTGGCAAAATGGAAACATTTTTATTTATCCTCCCTCCCCTTCCTGAACATTTCAGAGTGACCACTGGTTGGACTCTTGGCGGCGCTTAACGTGAACCTGAGTGTTAGGGGAGAGGTAATCTGCCGTTGCGGTTTCTGGAGCTGCTCATAAGCAAGAATTCCCTATCCTGATCAAGGCTTTAAGCCTAAACGAAAGCAGAAATAGGTATGGACCATTGGTGTGTGTGTGCCTGTGTGTGTGTTCAAGCCTGTGTGTGTGCAGGGTGGGGTGGGTGTGGAGTGGGAGGGGGTGGTGTACATACTTCAGGGTCTGGGGCAGCTCAATGTCTGGATTTTCCTGCTTTGCAGGAGGGGTTTATAAGTTATTTTCTTGTAACTGTACATACTCCTGTTCCATTTTTTGAAAACGGAAAAGTCTTTTGGTAGTCATCTCTTCAGTTTTCAGGCATTGAAAGAGATATGTATACTTGTCAGCTTATCAGAAAATCCCAATCTGACTGTTTAAATACAGGAATTTGAATGGGACACTGGGAGGGAGGAAGAGAGAACCTGAGTGCAGGTTGCTTAGGCCCTTAGTGTACACTTCCCAAAAAATTGGATTAATGAGATTTAAAAAGGGCCTTTGGAAGGTGAACTACGGGGTCAAATTACTCTGTCAAATAATTGGAAACCATGTAGCAGTAATCATGCGAGAAGTGTGAAAGGAGAGAGGATGGCTTTTCTCTGTCTGTCATACACATCTTCTGGGTCACTCACTCCCTGTAAGATTAAAAGAAAGGAGTTCATGTTTCCAGAGAGACTGTAGGCTATTTAATATAGAAATCAGGGCCTTGGAACCAGGATTCCAGAGTTCTCATCTAAGAACCTGTGGGTTCCTTAGGTTGACCTTTATTGTGAGTTTTTGTGTGACATCATGTCCATTATCCTACACTAAAGATCCTTAGAGTGAAAGTTTCATTATTGAACATTAATGTGAAATTGCAGTACATAATATGAGAGACAGATTATGTCCAAAGAATTTTTGAGCCTGTAATGATTTTGTGTGTACTACTATACTGTATAGAGGGAGAGAGAGATAGAGTAAGTGGTTACCTCTACTAATTTTTAGGTGGGAGAACTGAAGACAATAAACAATCAATTTTGGGAGTTATCCTGTAAAACTATGGCATGCTTAGAATTTGAATCTTGAGTTGTCTTACTTACTGATATGTTTCACTCAGTCCACATTACTTCCTTAAGAAAAATTAGTAGTGGGGAAAGGATATTATAATTATACCCTTTCCAGAAGGATGACTTTTTTGTTTTTCAATTTCTAAATGCTGTCAGAGGCACAGTTCAAGTGAGAGAGGGTTTTCCCTTTAAACTCCTCCTACCCAACAACATCTCAAAGACAATTCCAGGATGGCTGAAACAGAAACTTTGTCAGTAACAATCGTCTCAAGCCCTTCTCTTACTAAGCCAAGGAGCATCCAAAATGGACAATACAAAAATGATTCCTGTTTTTGTGTGTGTGCGTGTGTGTGGGTGTATGTTTCAGAGTTTTATGAGATCAGAGAAAATGATTTTCAACAAGCAGGGATCATTTCTATTTCTTGCCAGCCAAGCTCTCTTCATTTTTTTATTTATATTACTAATTATTTGGCATTTTAAAACTTCCTTTACATGCTGAACTGCTTTACAGATCCTGTCTATGAGGTAGTTTCTCTCTATTGTCCTGCCCCTACTGCCACAGCCATAAGAGTTGGATTTTTCACTTATACAGAATACAGAGAGATGAACCCTGTAAGTAAGGCCCTAGGGAGTTTGTCCTCTCTGATCCCCCTATTTAACTGCTCCAAGTTTGCCCAGTCCTATTAGAAGTTAAGTCAAGATTGAATATTTAACCCATGCTAAAAGTAAAAGAGGAAACAGCTACTTATGCCTCCAAGTTCCTCATCATATCAGTGCTAGAGTCAGAAGTCACAAACAATTAATCTATTAATTCTAGATTCAATTCTCTACTTTGTATCGCAATGGAATCCTCATCCCCAAATTCCCATTTTCTTCCTTTTTAGAGGAATGATTTATCCATCAACTGGGTGTTAAGCTTCCTGTTTCCCCTTCCTAGGTCAAGGGCAGCCCAGGTGCCCAATTTCTCTCTCTCTTCACAAGGCACCACCAGCAATAGAGATGAGAAATTCTGAAGAACAGCCAAGTGGAGGAACCACAGTGTTGCAGCGTCTGCTACAAGAGCAGCTTCGCTATGGCAATCCTAGTGAGAATCGCAACCTGCTTGCCATACACCAGCAAGCCACAGGGAATGGCCCTCCTTTCCCCAGTGGCAGTGGGAACCCAGGTGCTCAGAATGATGTATTGAGTCCCCAGGATCACCACCAACAGCTTGTGGCACATGCTGCTAGACAAGAACCCCAGGGGCAGGAAATCCAGTCAGAAAGCATCATCATGGAGAAGCAGCTTTCCCCTCGAATGCAAAATAATGAAGAACTCCCGACCTATGAAGAGGCCAAAGTCCAGTCCCAGTACTTTCGGGGCCAACAGCATGCCAGTGTTGGAGCTGCTTTTTATGTCACTGGAGTCACTAACCAGAAGATGAGGACTGAGGGACGCCCGTCAGTTCAGCGGCTCAATCCTGGGAAGATGCACCAAGATGAAGGACTCAGAGACCTTAAGCAAGGACACGTCCGCTCTTTGAGTGAACGACTAATGCAGATGTCTCTGGCCACCAGTGGAGTTAAGGCCCATCCACCTGTTACCAGCGCTCCCCTTTCCCCACCACAATCCAATGACCTCTACAAGAATCCCGCAAGTTCCAGTGATTTCTTCAAGGCCCAAGGGCCACCTCCAAGCCAGCATAGCCTGAAGGGCATGGAACATCGAGGCCCCCCACCTGAGTATCCCTTCAAGGGCATGCCACCCCAGTCTGTAGTGTGCAAGCCCCAAGAGCCAGGGCACTTCTATAGTGAGCATCGTTTGAACCAGCCAGGGAGAACAGAGGGGCAACTGGTGAGGTATCAGCATCCCCCTGAGTATGGAGCAGCCAGGTAAGAGAGTTCCCTTTCTATAATTTTCTAACCTCCTCCTCAACCAGCTTCTGCTGTGTGTTAGGAGTCTTAAGGGAAGAAATGGGTAGGTGTTTGGAATAACAGACTCTGCAATGCATGGCTGGCCCCTGACTTAGTAAATTTTCTGCCAACCTGAATTTCTATCCATAATTAGCACAGTATTAACATTCCCTGAACTTTATAGGTTGAGTATGGCTTCAACTGCCTAGTGGATGATTTCAGCACCTATTTGCTGTTCCATCTCTTAGGATATTGAAAGAAGGGTCTGTGTTCCATCTTGTAAGTTATTAAGCCCTTCCTTTAGGAGCAGAAGCAAATTATCTTGGACTTTAATTAGTCTGAAATATCCTATCACTTCTACTTATTCGCCTTTGCAAAGCTTTCATCACATATTTTTTGTGAACACATCTTTCTGCAGAATTACTGTGATTCTTTTAAGCAGTAAACAAGCATCCACATAATACTGTGGGGGAACTATACGTGCATAGGTTCATAATGTAACTTGTCTTGTACTTCCTTTTAGTTTATGAAATCTGGATTGCTTTATCTTTCTTTTGTAGAGACTTTGCTAGTTGCCTATTACATTTTTAGACATCTCATTTAAGTTTACATCATATTATACAGAAGTCTTCATCAGATGCTAAAATATAAAAGGCATACACCCATGACTTCTGTACCACTTGCTGTCAGTTCCGGAATACTGTACTGTTTCATATATTCAGTTCTTCTTAAATACAGGGGTTGGCAAATCTAAGATTACAGTTGTGAGTGTGTGAAAGATGGAGTTTGTTCTTATATTATTATTTATTAATTATTGTGTTATTTATTTGTATTACAACTGTAAACCTACTTTTGCCTACCCATGTATACTTGTGATTTATTTAAGGGCCTACTCTATCAACCAGACCTTAGATTCCATTATTTTGTTCATTGTTCCTATTGTTACTATTGGTACCATGTCTGTGATTAGTAGTATTTCAGCATATGGGACAGAGGGAAGGTTCAACCATGGGCAACAATGATGGAAATTATGTGGTATTCCTTCCCTGTTACCATGGGTAATAAGGGGTGGCAATGAGGTTTGAAGTGCCTGGACCTAGGGTGGCCTTTTCCATAAGGGACTCCCAGACTAGACCTGTTATCTTTGATATTCCTTTGTCTCCTGTGTCCTTCTCACTCCTTTGTGGGAAAAAGCCTCTTGGCTTGAAGTTCTTCATTGGGTGACTCAGGAGACAAGGCAGTTAGGGGTGGAGTAGAGGTCAGGTAAGAGCATGTCCCTGCATTTCCTGGTATTTCATCATTTTCTCCTTCCAGGTCCACTTTTTTAGCTAGAGGCAATTCACTGGCTCCACCCCTAACTTTTCCAGCTTAGGATATTTTTTTTCCTTAACTCAGGTTCATATTCTAACCTTTTTTCAACCTTCTCTGTGCAGCTTTCAAAGGACAGGAGCCTAAGTTCTGATAAGTGGCTTGGAACAGGAAATGGAGTAATGGACAGGGTCTTTCTGGTTTAAATGAGAGCAAGAACTCAATTCCCCTCTTCCGAATGAAGTGGAAGACCCAGGGAGAGGTTGGTCTTTTGGATTGCTTAGCTTAGTGGAAACCCGTCCAAGCCAGCAAAATGTCAATGAAGCTGGGGTTTTTGTTTTGTTCTTCCAATTAGTATGGAAGAGTCTGTGGGACTCCCTACCTACCGTTTGTGGATGGGCTGATGTCTGTTGCCTTTTGGGAGGGGATTGTGTTTGCTAGGGTGTGGAGCAGAATCCAAAGCCCCACTCAGCACATGACCCCCCTTCTCAGGAAAGCTATTTTCAGAACTCATTCACCAGTATTGTTTGTGATCTGAAATGGCTCCCACAGTGTTTAAAGCTAGATGGAAAAGTCCTTTGATCTGCCTAAATAAATAATAAGGAACCCAAAGAGGGATTTTTTTTTCTTCCCCTACTGATTAAACCACCAGAGAAATTTAGCTGCGTCTATTTTACAGGAAGATACTGTATTTTCTCTTCCCTCCTACATCATCTATGGCTCTATTTTTCTATCCCCAAAAGCAGTAGAGTCCATGCTGATTACTCTCTCTTGAGCAGTAGTTTAATAACACAGCTTTGCTCTAACAGTTTTTCTTTTTCTATATGGGAGAGGAACAGTGTGCTTGATATGCTTGATGAATAATCAAACTTAAAAGATGCTCTGTGTGAAGTTTGGGTCTGCATCAGACAAATTCTGGCAATAAAATGTCTGCAGGGCACGGGATGAGGGAGTGGCACCAGTTGACAAATTACTGGCAAGGGGAGATAGTGAATTGCATTCCAGAAGCGTACACTTCTTTAAGTGGTCATACGTTTGTCCTCCTTCTTTCCTTGAAGAGTTTGTGACTACCTTTCCAAGTAACTGCTGATGGCACGAAACAATTAGAAGACTAAATTCTTATTTCTTAATCCACAAATTACAGATATGGATGCAAAGCAAGCTCTTTGAACAAAGTGTTGTCCAAAAAAAACCTTTGTTTGCCTTTCAAGGTGCAGTAAAATGTTAGAGATTTGCTGTTAAAAATGAACAAAATGATATAAACAATATTTTTATTACTTCATCTTCCATATGCCCTCCTCCCCACTTAAAAAATAGATATCCTGAATACTCAGGTCTCCAGATAGGAAACAAGGGCAAATCATGTGAACAATTAAAAATTTTCTAAATATTTGTCTTCTTAAGTACTGAGCCTGTTCTGCATTTGGTGTTTATACATTTATCAACTGCTTTTAAAAATTAAGTCTTTTCTGTTTGTAAAGCAGCCACCTCCTTTCAATTGTTGAAATCATGCCCAGATCTGAGGTTTCTTGAAATCCTTGTTTAGTGGAATCTAAGGGTGACCTAACTCTGTAGTTCAGAGCAGAGCTGGTTGTGCAAGAGAAAGAATCAAGAATATGCAGCCCTCTCCAGGATTCACTTATTTACCATCACAGAGCCTGGGAAAGGCACTGTTTCTGTGGGTAGAATAAATTGAGTTCCAGGCTGTTGGTGGCACCTGCTCTGGTGAGAGTGTGAATGTGTGGGCTTATATACAAGTGGGCCGGGAGTATGTAGTATGTGTATGTGGGGTGGGTGGTTGTGTGGCTGGGGAGGTCGGGGGCTTCCAGTCAAGGAGGCAGCAGGGTGGAAGGTGCTATGTCAACTCAAAAGGACTTACCTTTGCTATCCCTTTGTGTTTCTGTAAGCTGTCTCTGCGAGGGAGTTCTCCCTGCTTTGGGGGGATGCTGATTTTGGTCATTGGCCTCAGTCCTGCATATATGCCCTTTTCCCTTTTTTGCAGAGCACTAGGGAACTGCATTGTCTTAGGAAGGGGCAGGATGAAGGGAGGGGAAGGACAGGGAGGTAGGTCAGGGCTTCCATGGGATCATGTGATTCTGTTGTCTGCTGGTGTCTTGTTCCTATTTAATATGCCAGTGGGCAGCAATTCATGCTGATGCGCTGGGGAATGTGCTGCTAACCCAGTACCACCTTTATTATTACTGTTACTCTTATTAATCTTGAGTGTGTTTTTGCTTCTTCTGATATCCCCCCAGCTCTCCCGTACTCCTGTCATTTTTCAGTCCTCTCCTCTCAGTGGGAACTTTACAATAGTTAATACAGTCCTCTTTTTTCGTGGTGGGTGGATGCTGGAGCCCAGATGGAGTTCGTTGGCTGGAGGGCGTTCTCTCCCTCGTGACTGCCCAAGCCTTACTTTATGTTTGCAAACCTGACAGAGACGGACTGTCTTGGTTTTCCCAACACCACAGTGCACTGAAATCTGCTTCCTTTTCCAGCCTGGGGAAACTGAGGGGCAGCTGCCTTGTTTCCACTTACCTCTTAGGCAGTGCCTAGAGTTGTGGCCAGGGCCACTGCAATCCTGGTCTTATTTGACTCTAGAGACCTCTTGTGGTCTTCTCCAGGAGGCCATGAGCCGTTCTGTGAATGGAGGGTCCTTTCAGTCTCCAGGCTGGAAGGAGACCAGTGGCCAGCTTGTTTGGGAGAGAGATCTGGATTGATGATGGGGCCCAGGGGAGCTGGAGGGGCAGGGAGGAAGTGGGGAGGAAGCCCAGTTTAGAATTGGGCATTCAATCTTTAAAAGAGAACACCTCCCAGGCCTTGGGTTTTCAAATTCTGATTATAAGTATGAAGGTTAATGTGGTCATTTTTCCCTTAAATTTTGAGAACTGAATTGGAGACCATGAAATGTAAGCCTCCTTTTTTTTCTGCCCAGGATATCCAAAAGTCCCAACAAATCCCAGGACATTATATTTACCTATAGAGAAATTATATATTTATAATCTTTCCAGAAAAGTCCAATCATTGTTAATATAATGAGAACAATTTGCATGACACAATGTAACCTCCAGCCAGGGACAGTGGACTGGAATGTCCATGTGTGAACAATGAAAACTTCACTGTACTAGTCAGTGGGGGTGGTGTTGAGTGAACATGTGTACTGTGTGTCTGTTGCATTCAAAATGACTGAGTGAGTAGAGCAAATGATCTACATCAAATTGTGTGTTAAGCTTGTACATTCCACTATGAAGCTATTTGGATGATTCAGAAGGCTGCAGCTATGGGCAACTGGTAATTGGTAGCTTCATTACAACAATGCACCTGCTCATGCATCATGTCTCATGCAGAGTTCTTTGACAAAAAATTAAATCACACAGGTAACTCAGCACCCCTACAGCCCAGATTTGGAGCCCTGCGACTTCTTGGTTTTCTCAAAACTAAAATCACCTTTGAAATAGAAGAGATTTCAGACTGATGATGAGATTCAGGAAAATATGATAGGGCAGCTGATGGTGATTGGGAGGACTGTGTGAGGTCCCAAGGTGCCTACTTTGAAGGGGACTGAAGCATTAATATCCTGTGTACAATGTTTCTTGTATCTTATATCTTTTTCCAAAAATGTCTCTATTTTTCACATTATAAGGCTGGAGACCTTCTGGACAGAATATATATATTAGCTTTTACTTGAAGAAGAAGAAGAGCACATAGTAAATTTTATTTCTAAGGAAACTAAAAATCCACAATATGGAAAATGGAGAAAGACTCTTACCCAAATAAGTTTGTAAACAGCTCCCAGGCTTTTCATTGGATGAGTGTTTTAAGCTCTTGGTAAAAAGGTTTTGTAAAGGTACTAACTTTCCATTTGTAATCATAAAAACCATACAAATTTTTCTATCCACAGATAGTTCTCATGCCCTCTTCAAAACTCAGTAATTGTTTATAGTGACATATGTATGAAATTGGAAGAATGTGGGTATACCAGAGGCATTGATGGGGCTGAGAGATAGGAACTAGGGCTTGAGCAGGTTTGAAGGGTCTGTTGAACATCCAGATAATTGGGTACCTATGAGCAAATGTTTGGAATGATTTTGTAGCTATAAAAATCCCTAACAGTGAGAATCTATTGTAGGGAATATATACATGAACAATAATGATAACTGGAGTGTGTATCCACTCCAGTGATGTGCTTTAGCATCTGGAATATCAAAAGTTAATTGCTCCTGGTGACTTGTCCTGGTTTCACCATGAATTTTGCAATTTAGAGCAAAGATTAAATGGATATCCCACAAACAAAATCACTAACAGAGTCAGCCAATCTCACTGAGAGGTAGATAAGAGACTCTTTGTAATTCTTACTGAGCTCCAAAATGCAAAGAGCCCAATATTTCTGTAATTCATTTGCAACCTCAGAAATGAACTAGGCTCTTGCAAATAAAATAACTTGAGCAATTTTATACAGCTAGTAAGCAGTAGAAAAGGTCTCTAAACTCTGTTGGGATCCAAATCCCATGCCCTTAGCCATCTGTCTTTCTTGGATGGACAAATATCAACTGTACGATAAGCATCCACAAGACGTGGGAGTATATGAGGTTCAGTGGGCATGTGCTGGGGGTGAAGTATATAAGCTTTTTGTCCTTAGTGTATATTGAGAGATACTCTTTATGGTAGTGATAGTGGTGGAAGTGATCCATTCACATACTCTGTTTCTCTTAATGGCTAGTAGTCTAGTATTAGATATAAAAAATGGGAGAGCTACATTAAACAATATACCAAAGTTCTCTTCCTGGAACTTTCTATAAGCAGTAGGCTGGCAATCTGAACATCGGTGTGTGGAAGTCAATATATTATGGTAGAGATAGGGAATGGGAATTGGGAAACAAGGGTTCTACTCAGGCACTACCACTAACTCACTGTAATATTTGACAGATTGTTTCCCGTTTCTGGACCTCAGTTTCTCCCTCTGTCCAATGACAGTCAGCTTAAATTGTTTCATAGAGGAATTTCCAGTCCTTATATTTTGTTATCCAGTACACCAAAAATTGTATAATAATGTTGCATATAATCCCCTCCAAGCATGGTGTTGTTACTAGTAGCAGGTAGGCATCAGTCAATTATTAATTACTGTAATCAATAACAATTATTTGGTATCTTTAAAAAGAATCTATATATCCTCAAGTAATTTTTAAAAAGATTTTGTTTATTTATTTTTAGAGAGGGGAAGGGAGGGAGGAAGAGGGGGAGAGAAATATTAATGTGTGGTTGCATCTTGCATGCCCCCAATTGGGCAACTGGCCCACAACCCAGGCATGTACCCTATACTGGGAATCAAACTGGCAACCCTTTGGTTTGCAGGCTGGCACCCAATCCACTGAGCCACACCTGCCTGGGATATTTTTTGTGGAAATGTTTATTATCAAAGAGAATTGCAGATAGCAAGATGGGGGGTAGTTTTGACTGCTTTTGGCTATTTCCTTCTGGGCAAGTGGAACATATTTTCTAAATTTGACTCTTTACATGTACTGGAGCACATATAGAATGTCATAAAAGGTGTAGTTTAAAATGAGATGAAAAAATTACCTTGTAGAAGACTCCTTTAAAATCCTTTGACTTGAGTACTGAGTATATAGGCATACAGCACTTTGATTTTCACAAAGCAACCTTTGAAAGATCATCTGGTGCAGTCCTCCATGGGATGACATCCCTGTCTCTTAGGCAGCCACAGAAGGTCAGGCCTGGAAAGGACTATAGAGGTTTTGGCAGAGATCCCATAGTCTAACACTGCCTGCTCTTCTTGTTGTAGGTGTCCTGAGGGTACTGGCAGCCTCCTCATCTCACTTTCTTTTGCCTTTCTTCCCCAGTATCTTCAGAGGTAGCTTAACCTTAGCATGCCCTCCATGTTTTACAGGCCAACACAGGACATCTCATTGCCATTGTCGGCCAGGAACTCTCAGCCTCACAGCCCTACTTCTTCCCTCACATCTGGGGGTTCCTTGCCCTTGCTGCAGTCTCCACCATCTACTAGATTATCTCCTGCCCAACATCCATTGGTCCCAAACCAAGGAGACCACTCAGCTCACCTACCTAAGCCGCAGCAACATTTCCTTCCTAATCAAACTCACCAGGGTGATCATTACCGTCTCAGCCAGCCGGGCCTGAGTCAGCAGCAGCAGCAGCAGCAGCAGCACCACCACCACCATCACCAGCAGCAGCAGCAGCAGCAGCAGCAGCCGCCGCCGCCGCCAGCCGAAGCCTATTCAGCTATGCCTAGAGCTCAGCAGTCTTCTGCTTCTTATCAGCCAGTGCCAGCAGACCCTTTTGCCATTGTTTCCAGAGCCCAACAGATGGTTGAGATCCTCTCAGATGAGAACCGAAACTTGCGGCAGGAGTTGGAAGGATGCTATGAGAAGGTGGCAAGACTGCAGAAGGTGAGGCCCCCATGTTGGGATATTAGAGTCTCCTTTAAATTTTATATGTTTATTATCATTGTAAAAGTCTCCATTTGTGGGTGCCTGCATGACTTATGAGCAGGTCTTCAGGTTTCTTATATCTGAAGGTTAGATATGGATCAAACTTTGGAATAAGCCTATGCCTGTCTTTCTAGGGGAAGTAACATTTTACACTTATCTCGAGGAAAAAAAAAATATTTATACAGTTTTTCCAGACACGGTAGCCCTAAGAAAACCTAGCTGATTGCTTTAGAATTCCAGTAAGTAGAGAAACATCTTCATAAGGTTAAGAACACTGGTGATGTCTGTGTAGGTGAAGGACCTTCCAGCATAAAGACTTTTGTCTTGATTGTATTTTATCAAACCCTGAATTTGAATTGTAAATATAAAACCATAGTTCCTAGAAATACCTCACCACTGAAGTTAGGTCCTGCCCTGCCTTGCTCTGCAAAGGGCTTAGAGCACTTTTCCAAGTGGGAGTTCCCATGGTAACTGTTTTTCAACACTCCCTTCCTTATCCTCCTTTTTGCTTTGGCCCTTCTCTTCCGTTTAAATTCAACATCTGCTCTTTTTCTCTTGTGTGTGTGGGGTTGAGGAGGGGCTTAGCACCACAGCTGGGTGACAGGTGACAGCCCTAGGCTGAGGAAGGAGGAAAAGGAAAGTATGTCCTCAGTTCACATTCTTCCCTGGTCCTCTCCTTTCTCTTGCAGCTGGATCTTTAGCTCTTGAGTGCTTTAAGCTAGGAACCTTAGCTCTTGGCCTCCATGGACTCTTGGTGAACAGGGTTATGCCTTTGGCAGCCTCTTTGCCGCTTTTGTCATTAGAGCCCACGTGGTTTGATCTCCTGACAAAGACAATGTGAACTGTTCAGGGAGGGGAGGGTGAAGCTGGCGGAAGGAGGGGAGGTTGCATGGTACAGTTCATCAACTCTGTCCTTAGAAGATACCCACAAGTGGAAATTTCAGGGGTCTGAATGAAGCTAAAAATTTGTAAACACCAAATTGGAGACCTAAAGGAAAGAGGAGGACTTACTGTCAACTAAGTATATTTATGTAGTAAAAACACTTACCCTCAATATTCCTAAATGAGGATGAGGGTTGCTGGGGTTAAATGAAAACTGTTTCTCTATGGCTTTGCTCCCAATTTAGAATTTTCTCCCTTCACTCATTTAAGTATACCACCCATAACTCCCATCACATTGGTTCACTAAATGGATCATACTTACACATTACTGTCACACTGCCCCAATTTGGCTGATTAGATTTGACAGCTGATATTCTTCCCCAAACTCTTTATTCAGGGTGGCCCCAGCCACACCTTTGAGGCAGTAACTGAAGGATGGACCCAGATTGTCTATAGGGCCTCTTCACCAAATGATCCATGGTGAATTTTTTTGAGGGGGAGGGTAGGTGACAGAAAGAGGAGCAGAATAGGATTTGTGTTGTTTGTTTCCAAGTATCGGGAAAGATGACTCAACTGAATGTAATTGGCACAGCTTGAGTGTTGGGGGAAGTGAAGGCCAACCCAGTACTGCAGTGGATGAGAGGCACAGATGAGGTAGAAGAGGAAAGGAAAACGGGGAGAATGAGGTAGATACCAGATGGAGCTAGGACAAATAAGGAGACCCAAGGTTTATGAGGGATATAAATAGGTAAACAGAATAAGACTGGAAATTCACCGCCACCCTCCCTCTTCCCTGCCCCCATCGTCACACAGAGCGAACTAGTGGATATGCCCTTCTGTAACTTCTTTTCCTGGAAGGTTCTGTTGATGGGTGTACAGCTTGCCCTTTTGAAGGGTACAGTATCTACACAGAGGGGTAGGGAAAGTGTTGGTACAAGATCTTGAAATAGTACTCTGAACGATGTGAGTAGAGGGACTGCCTTCCAGGTGTGTCATTCTGTGGGGAACTGGAAAGTCTTGTATTCTAAAGGCTGCCTAGAGCAGACAAACACCAAGCTGCTCTTTCAAATGGAAATGTTTATTTTCTCTACTCAGCACTTGAATTTCACGAAGAAGCTTTATCAGGCTCAAGCCTTGCAGATCAAGTCACTAAATGCCATTCACCAGTTTTCCCCTTCTGTGCTGCTATCTTGGTGCCATCTGCAAGGAGAAAAACACTCTCAAGTCTGCTCTTTTCTGTGGTGTAAGCCTCATTTGTTTGCAGACAGTCCTGCATCAGGCATAATTTTGGAGCAGAGGCAGGTGGAATCTGAGTTGTTTGGTAACCCCACCTATCCCCAAGTCTCCCACTGGGGGCCTGATATTTCTCCCCATAAAGCACCCTAAGCTTTGTTAAGGAGGACAGTGGAAAACTGAGAGGGAATATAGAATGTTTGCGAGAATCAAATTTAACTTGAAAATTGCTTAATAGACCATGAAGTTTATTTGTCTTATACAAATTATATGCAGATATATCTATGGTTATTATATGTTCAATGAAACTATACTAGTTCCAGAAGGAATCGAGTCTCATTTCTTACTTTCTTCCTGTTTTGGACTAATTCAGGGCAAAACCGTTTCTTTCCCTTTGATGTTTTCGTGTTGTTGTTTTTTTCCATTTACAAGATTTACAGGAGTGTCATAAAATATAACTCTGATTATGAATTTCTGTTAAAAAAAATCTGCTGGTTTCCCACTGACTACAGAATAAAGTGCAAATGCCTGGCATTAAAACCCTTTTATGATCTGACTCCAGTCAGTCTTTGCAGCTAGATCTCATCAGCTTACCTCTATGTACACCACAGTGTCCAGACAAATAGGAGTAATAGTCATTCTGAGAATGCATTCGCAAACTCAGAATAAAATACCCTTCTCCTCACCTCTGCTCCCTGAAACTTGATGCAGCTTTTAGGATTTGACTCTAAATGCTACCTCCTCCCTGAAATTGTCCTCCTCTCCCTTCACCCCCAACCAGGAACAACCTCTTCCTCCCCGTGCACTTTATAAGACTACGCCTACTTTTCTTAATAATGTCTCTTTCCCTGTATTCTTTCACTTGATTAGCTCAAAAGCTCCTTGAGGGCAACGATAATGTTCTCACTCATATTTACACACCCAGAGTGTCTTAAAGATTTTTTGTAAATATTTGGCCCTTGGTAAATACTTGTTAAATTGAACTAAGCTACTGCATGAGTCTGAGGCTTAGAGTTTCTATGGTTTGCTTTTGCCACTAACTTCATGATGGAAAAGGCAATGTAATTTTTCTTTCAGCTAAAATGGGGAGAGGTATTCTTGTGAAGACAGGTATCAGGGTAAATTGAAATAAACATCTGAAAGCCCTTTGAGTGCTCTAGAATAACATTATCTGCATACTACATACATTACTATTTTTGAAATTGAAAAGCTCTTACTCAGATATGAAAATCATTTTTAACTCTACTTATGAAATTTGTTCTCTCCTACTATCTTCTCTGAAGGCAGAAACTTATTTGTTTTTAACATGAGGAACTGTCCTGACCCAGTGAGGTAATTACTAAGCCTAAGGTTGAATTTTGAAGTCCTTCTGGGAAACTTCTTATCAGTGTTATGCCCCCTGGCCATCTAAAAAGCCCTGGGAGAAGCTGTCATTAAGGATTTGCATTTTCAGGCCTCTTTCCCTTTGCTCCAATCATCAGCACTGTCTTGTCGTTTTTCTTTTCAGGTGGAGACAGAAATCCAGCGTGTCTCAGAGGCATATGAGAACCTTGTAAAATCATCTTCCAAAAGAGAAGCCCTGGAGAAAGCCATGAGAAACAAGCTTGAGGGGGAGATTCGGAGAATGCATGACTTCAACAGGGATCTGAGAGGTGAGGTAGTCACTTCTGAAGCATAAGCCAAGCTGGTGAAGGGAAGGGCTATGGAGCATACATTGAGGCTCTTAAGTTTGTTCAGCCTACTGGTATGTTTAGTAAGTTATAGGGCATAGACAAGGCCAGGTTTTTGTGACTGCAATAGTACTTGGCCTCAAGTTGCTTAATCAAAGTGGGAAGAGCTGATGTGTTAATAAGATGATACTGATCCTGGGACTCCTGGACCCACCTGGCTTACCCCTACAATCAGTGCTGCCTCTTTCCTTTATAGGTTTTACAGAGGCTGGTTTTATCTTCCACTGTTTCTAGGACTCCCTTCTTGCATTTTTACCTTAACATGGTAATATTGAAGATGGTAAGAAATAACCCTCCCAACACCTTCAAAACTGATGACGCTGACTTTGGGGATAGTATTTTCTGTCTCTGAATTAAGTTATCTATAAAATGACAGATCTGAACTCGTTGCTGCCTGTGGTCCCCTTGCAGCTTTGACATTACATGATTTTAATGACTTTATAATTAATAACTTTGATGCTTTTTCTTCAGGTGAATGAAAGATATATATTCCAGGATTGATTCCTTTGTTGAAATTTAGAATTCTGCACTTAGGTTTTGTTAGCAAGGAGTGAAACTGTTAAGTATTCAACTCTTCTTTCCCTGTCATGGTCTAGTATTGTTTGGGATCCACATTTGCAATCCTAGGTCTATGTTGTCCTTTTTTTTTGTGTAATAAGAAGCAGGCTTGTTTTGCCAAAGATCAGTATTGAAAGGGCCAACAGTATGTGCATGGAAGTTTGTATATGGGGCTCTGTTGATTGTGTCTCAATTCCACAGAACGTCTGGAGACTGCCAACAAGCAGCTTGCAGAGAAGGAATATGAGGGGACAGAGGATACCAGAAAAACCATCTCTCAACTCTTTGCAAAAAGTAAGTCTGAAAGCTATAGCAGCAGGCATTAATGTGTGGATGGGAATGTGTGGGAAAAGGTCACACAGTTCTGTTTAGCCTAGAACAGCCAGGACAGAGTGAATTTCATCTAGTGAATATTTTTTCCTGTTCAGGCATGAAGTTGGGAGAATTTGTTCTGTACTTTCTAGGCCAAGAAGGCTGCTTGCCACAACATCTAGTCACATCCACATGACTCCTTTTGTATTAAACCACAGAAGTCCCTTGAAATCCCTGCTTTTGTCATGTGTAGCTGAAAAGGACCTTACTGACCATGGGGTCCTTTAAAGGTGATAGGATTTGTTGTTGAAGGCTCCCTGTGCTAGCTCTGGTACAGATATGATTAGCACACAGGACTGATGGTTAGTGTTTGCAATACCTAACCTGTTCCTGGAACCCCCTTATTTCAAACACCTTGTATTATCATATCATTACCCCTTGGTGGACTACAAGGGTAACTACAAGGGGAACACTGCAGAGTTGGAGGGTAGGGGGATTCGAGAGCTGTGCCTTCTTTATAACAGTATTTCCTTTGTCTGGAAATACTCCCAAGACCAGAACAATGAATTAATCTTCTTCTTTATCAGTCCCTAATGGACTCCACCCAGCTAGACAATGCCTCATTCTTTCAAATTGCCACTATAAAACAAGCAATAAAAACTACAGGGTGGATTGAGTCCATAGGGAAAATGAGGTGGGGGAAACATGAACTACCCCCACCCTTGTGCAGATAGATGCCTTAGTTGGTGTGCTCTACCTCCAGCCTCCCTCACTATGGCGCCTAGCTGGAGTAGTGCTTGGTGGGACTCTAGTTAGGCCCCATCTTTGCTGGGCCGCCACACAGCCCTTTCAAGTCTTTCCATGTAGCTTACAGTCAGCTTTTACAAGTTTGTTTAATCTTCACTTGCAATATCACCCTCCTTTTCTGGGTTTCTCCATTGTGCTCTGGCTTCAGAACTGGGATATTTTCTCTATCATTTCCCTGAACCTCCTGTTCTTTTGTCAGCAGGTCTTAGAGGAAGGAATGTAGTTTTTCTGGTGTCATCAGTGCCTAGTGTAAGTTGTTGTGAAGTTGCTTTTCTGGTGTCACGGTTACCCTGGAAGCCAGTTCACTGGTAGATACAGTGGCAGTCTCCCAGGACAAAACAAAACAAAACAAAACAAAAAAAATGTATGGATTCTTGGCCTGGATCTGTTAGTCAACACTCCTCCCTATGTAGAGTGGTTATTTCAGGTGTCCTAGTAGCTCTGCTACTAATTTATAAATTGTGGTAATTTAGCAGATCAAACTGAACAAACAGCAGAGTAAGAGATTGTTAAATGCTTCTAAAATGGAAAAGTAGGCTCCACCTCATAGGCATGGAAGAGGGCATGAATTGTGGCCCTTTAATTTCTCTTGCCTTTGGACTTTGCTTTCAGTTGGAACTGTGGCAGGAGCCAAGAAAGCCCTCCTGAAAAGCCTCCCTGAGGAATGTGCTCAAACTACCGCAGTAGAAAGCATTTAAAACAGCTTGGCCTTAAGTATGGTCTCCATTACTTATTTTGCTAGTTGTGGGACCTTTTGCAAGTTACTAGAGTCCTCTGAGTCTCTGTTTTCTTATATGCAAAATGGAGACGAGAATGATAATATCTTCCTTATATGCTTGTTCTGAGGATTAAGTTCATAACAATACCAGGTACACATTAAGTATTCAACAAATGTTCATTTTTACCAAGCCATATCTCAATATGTATGTAAAATCAGAGTGGGAAGAAAGGCGAGGCTGTCCTACTAAAGTTTCTCCTACAAACTCAAGTATTAAGGTCTCAAGAGAAAGAGTACTCTACCTCCAAATGAGAATCAAAACTGCTCATTCGAGTTTCTGGTACAAGGTCTGTCCTAGTTAGAAGGGGAGGGACCTAGAAAGGCACAGAGAATAACTATATGTGTCATGGTCATCTGTAGATACAATGCACTTATGGATTGATCTCACTTTAAAAAAATGTTAGTGAGTTAAGGTGGGATTTGAGGTCTTATGCATTTTATGAAATGCAATTTTTAGATTGATTTAATATACTTTTTAAATATGCAGATACTTTCATAAGGAAATAATGGGAAACTTGAGAAGGCGTGCTTTAATTATTCTTTCACCAATACAAGACCGTTTGAAGATATAAAATTGATTAGACAAGGCTACTTATTCTTCTGATGAGTGTGTCTGTTCTCCTTTGTGAAAGACTTTTCGTAACAGTCTTTATTTCTACTTTCTCATTGCTTCTGCACAACAACCACTATTAAGTGACTGTTCTTAATTCATATAATTTAGTGGTAGAGCCAGTGATAGAGTCAAGATCTTGGTTTCCTGGTTCATTTAGCTATGTGTTAGAACACTAGAATATTTAGTAATGGATGTGCTTGACAGTTATGCCCAGGTAAGGTTTTGAGCCACCTTTAGAATGTCAGTGTGATATTTCATATCTTGATAGATAAGGAAAGCCAGAGGGAGAAGGAGAAGCTTGAAGCAGAGCTGGCCACTGCCCGTTCTACCAATGAGGACCAAAGGCGACACATTGAAATCCGAGACCAGGCCCTAAGCAACGCCCAGGCCAAGGTGGTAAAGCTTGAGGAAGAGGTACGTGTAGTTTCCTCAGGTAGCCTGAGGGTGGAAGTGTTGGGAAATCAAGGGCGCCGATGACTCATAATTTTGGTGAACTAGCAGTTGCACAGTCCCCCAACAGAAAAGTACCATCTGCTACTTCTAGTTATACCTATGCTGATGTATGTATGTAGCTTTTGATTTCTTTTTTTTTTTTCTGCAAGTTCCTTCCTTTTACTCTGGAATAGGAAATCACCATGGTCAAGGAGCAGTTTTCATTTGCTCATTCATATAAAAAGTTAACAACCTCCCCCCAAGTTCTTATTGTGTACCTAGCCCTGCCTTAAGCCTGTGACCTCTGGACACACACACACACACACACACACACACACCCCACACACACACCACCCCCCACCCCCGGCCTTATAGGACTTTATTTTGGATGGGCTAGAAAATTATTTCACATAATTTAAAGTATTCCAGTGGTCTTTAAATCAGAATGGTCCTAGTCTCCCCATGCTCAGTGGGATGTTGGTTCCCTCAGGTTAAAAATGAATCTTGATGGCTCTGCCTCTTATTGTTGGACTTATTCTGTAGATTGATTTTAGGGTTAAAGCAATCTGGTGGGTCTTGGACAGGATGGGACCCAGGGACAGTTATATTTTATGGCAAACCAAAAGATGTGTCCTGGCTTTTACTGGCTAGGTTCTAGAATGTAGGTATGTGGTGGGGTGAAGTTGTCACATATTTGTGTGCAATGCTGGATCCTTCCCTTGACAAATGCAAGGGTCCCAAATTATTAAGCACATGATTAACATGTATCTGATTAGTCTTGATGTAGATGTTACTCAGTTTCAACAATAAGCCGTGTTTGTGTACAATACAGGGAGCTTTGCTGCTGGTTTGTCATTGATTCTGGATGTCAGTTGTCATTGTATTGGAGTACTGCTAACTCTTAGATGTTTTACACTTCAGGAGATGGGTGTGTTCCAGCAAAAAAATGTGGTGCTAAAATATAACTTCGTTAAGAAAATTTCACATCTCTCTGACTTATCTATTCTAAAATTTGAATTGTTTCAAGAGAAAAAGTAGCCTCCATTAAAACAAGTTGAAAGTTATATAAATTTGAGACCAAAGTGTTCAGTGAACAAGCCCTCAGCATTCTGGCTATTATATGTAAGATATCTTTCTTACCTTCACTCATTTTCAGTAAGAATGGTTCTAGTTCCTAGAGCTATCCTGACTTACAGATATACTTTGCTTCTGTTCTTGGGTATTAACATGCTTGTTGGAGCTGGGCTGTGTGTTTATACTGTTCTAGTAGGTGATACTATCTAACCTTTGATGTCCTTTTACTTGAATTGTTTAATTGTTAAATTTCAGGTTGTGTAGAATCAGGCTGATGTCCTACTTCATGGGTTGTCTGCATCAGAAATATCACTAAGATGATTTATTGTAAATGAGGAATACTTATGTATTCCTGGTATCCAAGTCTAGGGAGCTTAGCACACCCTCTAGCCTCTTGCTGCATCTCATATATTCCCTTCCTCCCCCTTTTTGCAAGGAAATCACAGAGTAAATTATAGGATGAGGATAAAACTGTATTCTTTTAAAGAAGGGAAAACTGAGAGACCTGCTGAGAAGAAGTAACTTGCTGGTGATCACATGGCAAGTCTTTGATAGAGCCAGGAATAAAACTGGAATCTCATGACTTTTCATTCCCTAGACTCTGCTGCCTGCCTCCCTGTCTGAATCATCCTCTGGTTCCATTCCCAAAAAGATGTGGGCGCTTGTTCAGATTTAGTAACCTTTGCATCTTTTAATTTTTAAAAAATTGCTTTACCCATTGAGCCCTTCTTTTTCAACAGACTATGAGAAGCTTATTCCATCTGCTCTGAGGATGGAGTGCACAAAACAGCCTTGCTCTGCCTCTCCAGGAAGGGTGCCCAACTAGTTGGAGATAATGGGGACAGACTCTGCAACCATGGTGGTGTGTGGTGTCTGAGGGCTCAGTGGTAACTGGTTATTAATGATGAAAATAATATACATGTGTGGAGAGTATATTAATCTGTAGTTCCCACTGTGCAGCCCTCACTGAACCAGTTGCCTGAAATACATTTCTGCTTTCAAACTTCTGAGGCTTTTCTGGACATTTGTTACAGAGATTTTTAGTTGTTTTCCAGGACCCTGTCCCCAAATACATAAATTTACAACTTATAATTTAAAGGAGAAGTCCTAAACATTAGCCTAGGATAAAATGGAGGTGGCCAGATATCTCAAATAAGCTAATCAGTTTTTTTTCTATCCTCAGCCAACTTGTACTTTTTCATGTAGTCTAGCTGTTGGGAAATTCTGAGTTGCTGTTGTTAAAGAAGGTAGAACATTTGATGGGCAGAGCAGGCTGGTAGCCTTCTCCCTGACAGAATCCAGAGGTATAGGCCAAGTAATGTCTTCAAGACTCTCAGGTCATATCACCTTTAGCACATAGAGAGTCTTGACTCAGGGAAAATACACTGATTCTTATTTCCATTTTTGTTTTAGCAGCTTATCAGAGCAAGGTTCGTTCGAAGTTGGTATTAGTTCTTTGAAGTTTTGCTTTTCTCCTGTGACTGGGCCCCCATTAGGACTTGTTCTTTATGGGGTAAAATTTTTAAGTATGGAACATTAGGGAGGTATTTAACGTGAATAGGTAGCTCTAGAACTAAGGTAATAAGGGGTCTTTATTGTGATTCCTTAACAAAATTACTAAATTTCTAAAGCAAGAAGGGCATTATGAATAGAAAAGTGCATCCTGCTCTCTGAGGTGGCTCAAGTAAAGTCATGTTTGAAGGCAGAAGGATATATGTCAGATCCTTGCCTATGTCTCATGTAAAACAATAGTTTGGTTATGGTTTACAAATGGCAGCATAACCTTTTTTGGAATTTCTTCCAAAGAAAATCTCTTTAGTATACTTAGCAAATGAGAAATAGGGGGGTTTACTTAAATTAAGCCTTTTGTCTAGGGAATATGTTATTAGCCTACTAAGTACAAGGTAACTCAAGTAACTATTTTGCATTGCAGCAAGATGTGCAGATTAATATATATGTCAAGTCATTCATTGTATTGTGCACCTGAAACTAATATAATGTTACATATCAGTTATATCTTAATTTTAAAAAGATGGCCCTGACTGGTGTGGCTGTTGGTTGGTCGGTCATCCTACAAGGCACAAAATTGCCTGTTTGATTCCCAGTCAGGGCACATACAAGAGGCAACCAATCTATGTTTCTCTTCCTCCCTTTTTCCCTGCATCCCCTCTCTCTAAAAAATAAATAAATTTTAAAAAGTTAAAAATGTTTAAAAAGATGGTTGGGGAAAGATTATGACTACTTCAATGGTTTGAGGACCCGTGCATGCATTTATTTATCTTTCTCTCTACAAAGTCATAATATAGATGCTTTTCCTGAAATCCATTCCATCTTTCTAACCCCATTAATACTCTCTATTCACTGTGTTCTAAGCTCTATGCTTGAAATGGTGCCTCAGGCTTACAGAGAACTTTCTCCTACAATTGTATCTTCCTCTTCAAAGTTCAGCACAGATTCTCTCATGGACCCTGCTCTGCTGACATGGAGACAGGTATCTTGTCAGGAAGTGGGTAGCACTCTAATTAAAGAGCAGACCTTTTCTTTTTGTCAGTTACTGTAATCCAGGACTTGCCACCAATCTTTAGCCTATGGAGCAGGCAGCCAGCTGAGGCAAATGGTACCTTTCCATCCTTGCCTTTATCTTTTGGGACATGTAGGTCCTATTGAAGTGGAAGCTCATTAAACTCCAAACCAAAATAACTTTGTGTCCTACAGCAACCATGGTATTCTCCCATTCAAATAGACCTACCCCTGACCCCACTAATTTGACCTCACTGGAGTGTTTTAACAGATGCCTGGCATATTCACTCATAAGGCTCAAGGCAGCACAGGCTTTTAACTGGCTGCTGTCTTATGATCCAGAGCTGAACCACTACTTGGGTAATTGTTTTAGGGATGGTGGGAAAAAAGCCCTGGAAAGATCAAAGAGGGAAGGTGCTGTGGGTGGGCTACTTATACTGAGCAAAGTGCAAAGGAAGGAACAGAGTAGAATGTGGGAGGGCTGGCAGAAAGATGAGTGAATCTCGTTCTTTAGTTTTAGGTGAGAATGACAACCACAGAGATTCAGGAAAAAAGGACCAAGTGTTAAACTTTTCTTTCTTTTTTTTCACTTTTCTTTCTTTCTTTTTTTTTTCTAATTTTCATTTTTTATTTTGGAGAGGGGGAAGGGAGGGAAAAAGATAGGGCCCCAACCAGGAATCAAACCAGTGACCTTTTGTTTTCAAGAATGATGCCCAACCACCTTGGCCACACCAGACGGTGCCCAAGTGTTAACCTTTTATGAGCTGCAATGGCTGGTGATGATTTAGACATCACAATGATAACTCTTAGTGGCAGTACATTTTCCAGAACCCTTTTGCCACTTTACTCAAGTCTCCAAACTAGAATTGTTTACTCCATTTCCCCCATTAACAGTCTATGGCTAATATTTCCTATTATTTCTAAGGTATCTTGCTACTTATTTATCTTTTTTTTTTTTTTTTTGGTTTTACAGATGCATAATTTTCTGACATCATACCTATCCACATAATACCAGTTTCCTTGTTTCTCACCATTAAAGGAAGATATTTTAGGCATAGACATTGATATGTCTAATCCAAAATACTCTTCAAACAATAAGGTTTTCTTGGTGTAGTCAAAACTCACTCAATGATTATGATGGATTATAAATCTAGATGGAAGATCCAAGGGTGTGGATTACGTATGCATTTAGAGTGTTGGTAGGAATTCAGGTAAAGTACATATCCACTAGAAATCTCTCAGAATGTTTTGATGATTTTGTTGGAATATTCAAAGAACATTTCATCTAAGGATGGCATTTCCTATATTTATGGCAGCATATTTTATTTGGAATAGGTATTGCTCCACCTAATACATTTAGAAATTATGCCTCCATGCCAAGTAGAGGT